AGGAGCAGGAAGGCTGATGTTTCGGGCCTAGACCCTTCTTCAGAACTAGGCCCGAAACGTCAGCCTTCCTGCTCCTCTGATGCTGCTTGGCCTGCTGTGTTCATTCAGCTCTACACCTTGTTATCTCAGATTTTCCAGCATCTGCAGTTCCTACTATCTCTAATCACAGATGTCATGCTTTTTAACTAATATTGACATAATATTTTGGCATTGCAATATATCAGGCAAAAATATTGATTTTAGCATGGTTAAACTAGAAACACTAACATTCTCTGTGAAAAAAAATCAGCATTCTGTGATAGGTAACATGGAGACAGCTGACAATGAAAAAGGCAATCTCAAGATATCCTACATGTATTTGGTAGATTCCCTCCACATGAAAGCCAATTAGTGTATTGAGAGCTCGGTGAATGATATACACGATATGGTCATCAGAATTCTTTTAAAGGTATAAATGAAAAGAGATCCCCATGTATCACAGATACGCTAGGCAGAAACTGACTATTATTGAAACATCACTTTTTACTCACATTGCGTCTAAAGTCAAGACAAAGACTATAATTTGGTTAGAGACAAAAAAACTGCAGATGCCAGAATCCAGGTAGACAAACAGGAGGCTGGAAGAACACAGCAAGCCAGGCAGCATCTGGAGGAAAGGAGCAATCAACGTTTATACCTGAAATTTCTTTCCTCCAGATGCTGCCTAGCTTGCTGATTTTTCCAGCCTCCTGTTTTTCTACAAAGGCTATAATGCCTGACTAATCTGTAGCAGCATTTATTCTCCCCATGCCTAATCTTCTAAGGCAATCGGCATATCTTCCATTTGCTTCTCAGTTGTTTATTCCATTTCTCTTTAAACATATCCATATCATTTGCTTCAACCACTCCATGTGGTGACGAGTTCCACACTTTTTCCGTACTCTAGTTAAAGAGCCTTCCTCTGATTTTTCTTTTGGGTTTATTAGTGACCACCATGCAGATCCCCTTGGGTTGGATTCCACGAAAGTAGAAACTTTTTTTTTGTATTTACATAAACTTTTCCAACACATCTGTATCTTTTACACAATATGGCAACCAGAACTGTCACAGCAGCTGTAGTAGAGGTGGAGATTTAGGGGGAGGAAGGTGTGCGGTGGGGGTGGTGAGGGGGAGTTGAGATCAGCCAATCTGATTGGCTGGACTCTCCAATGAAGTGGTCACAACACGAAGGCCCAATTGGATGTTCAGATGTTCAGGTAAGATGGGCAGGCAGGGGTTAAGCACCTTAGGAAGAGGAGTTGGGGGTAAGGGGGTGGTGGCGACATGTAGAGATGGGTCTTAGATCCTGCTAGGAGGAAGGAAAGTGCTATCTTCTCTGTGCTCCAGTTGTTCAAAGGGCACCCTCTAATGATTGTACCCCAACCTTATCCCCACCTCTTTAAAACTTTTAGAAAATCTTTCACCTACTTGTCCACACCAAACATATTATGGTGTGAGCAAAATAATGGGGTCAATTGATTCTTAATTATTAATTTATATATGGTGCATGGGCTATCAATTTTAGCACCTGCCCATCCAGCACAGTGGCTCAGTGGTCAGCACTGCTATCTCACAGCGCCAGGAGCCCAGGTTCGATTCCACCCACGGATGACTTGTCTGTGTGGAGTTTGCACATTCTCCCTGTGTCTGCGTGGGTTTCCTCCGGGTGCTCCAGTTTCCTCCCACAGTCCAAAGATGTGCAGGCTAGGTGGATTGGCCATGCTAAATTACCCATAGTGTTTGGGGATGTGTAGATAAGGTGGGTTATAGGGGGATGGGTCTGGGCGGGATGTCTGAGGCTCAGTGTGGACTTGTTGGGCCAAAGGGCCTGTTCCCACACTGTAGGGATTCTATGATCTATGATCCCTCAGTATTGAGGGCAACTTCGGGTTGGGTTGGGTTGGGTTGGTAGGGGATGCCCGGGCACCCCCAACTTGACTTCCTCACTAAAAAATGTCTGGGGGCAGGGTGTGCAAAATCCGGCCCATTAATCAGAAGCGCACTTTAATTAGACTCCAAGTAGCAATTATTGAGCTTAATTGTTATTTTGCTGACTTCTTAACAAAAGTATTCCAAAATTGCAAACTTGACAAACTGGTAAGTACCAGCTGTAGTGTGCAGATACTCTATCCAATGGGTAACATATTTTTATTTTGAAACTCAGCAAATGATGTTGGGTTTTTAAAATAAAATTTGGAATAAGCTGTACATATTATCCCAAGAGGGACTTGCTCAAAAAATGTGCTACAAATCTTTACACAGTGTTGAACCAGGGATGGCAATATGAAGCCTAATGTATATTCAGAAGCTGAGGAACATTGAACACAGTGAAACATTCCACACAACCTTGGGAACTAGAACAAAGCAGAAATCCATTCTGTTATATACGGTGTGCAAACAAATGGAAATTAATTAACAAAACATGAGAAGCACCTTCAATTCTGGCCTCTTGGATAAGCTTTCAGCAATAGCCTTTGCAGCTTCAACACCCACAGTGTTCCCTTCTAACCGCAGGGCATGAAGACAGGAAACCTCTGCAATCGCCTCTGTTATTTCCACAGCTAAAAAAAAAGGAAAAGAAAAAAAGGAAAGTAAGAGATCCATTCCCAAGTGTGCCCATGTTTGTGCTACTTCTGAGGGAGGGAGATGCTGCTTTCATACCAGTTCCAGAGAAAGCAGTTTAGATATTCAGTCTTCTGGTTGCATGTTTCAAAGAGTTATATAAGTTGCAGTTCACATCATGGACCATCTATTTTCAAGCCTGCAAACGGCAGGATAAAATGCAGCAGTGGACATGCACCCAAAAGTACAATTGTTAATCAACCTCCTGAGAGTAGAAAAACAGTGTTTGATCTGAGTGTATGAAGCATTGGACAGTGCAACACTTACCTTTCCTCCTACATACTGCACGATCCTGATCAATGTAGCTCTGGTTAGAATAATTTCAAATCTATTTAGAAACAACTGGATGGGCGAGAACAATTGACCTGGTGTGGGCTGAAAAATGTTTTTCATGTTAGAGCAATCTAATGCAGAGAAGGACTTGCACATTGTTTCCCAAAGACTAAGAAAAACCTAGTTCAGCTTCTTCCTGTTCTCTCCTGTTAATGGAGAATCAATGAGTAATGAGGAACCTCTTGGTCATAGTAATAGAGTTATAGAGATCTACTGCACAGAAAAATACCCTATAGCCCACTGCATCTGTGCCAGTCAAAAACAATCACCTAACTATTCTAATCCCATTTTGCAGCACTTGGCCTTGTATGCCTTGGCATCGCAAATGCACATTTTAGTATTTCTTAAGAGGAAAAGTTTCTCCCTGTCTACCCTATGTATACCCTATATTAATATATACATCTCAATCTCCTCTGCTCTAAGGAGAACAACTCCAGTCTGTCCAATCTCTCTTTATACCTGAAGCCCTCCTGCCCATACAACATCCTGGTTAATCTGCTCTGTACCCTCTCCAGTGCAATCACATCCCTCCCATAATGTGGACTCCAGAACTGCACCTGATATTCTAATTAAGGCTGTATACAATTCCAGCATAACCTCCCTGATCTTAAACTCTATGCCTCAACTAATAAAGGCATGTATATCATTTAGAGATAGTAGGAACTGCCGATGCTGGAGTCTGAGATAACAAGGTGTAGAGCTGAATGAACACAGCAGGCCAAGCAGCATCAGAGAAGCAGGAAAGCTGACGTTTTGGGTTGGGACCCTTCTTCATTTCTGAAGAAAGCTCCAGATCCGAAACGTCAGCTTTCCTGCTCCTCTGATGCTTGTCTGGCCTGCTGTGTTCATCCAGCTCTACACCTTATTATCTCATGTATATCATTTGCCTTCTTAACTACTTTATCCACCTGTCCTAACACCCTAGAGACCAGTGGACATACACAACAAGGTCCCTCTGATGTGCGCTGCTTCCCAGGGTCTGAATGTTTACCATGCATTCTCTTGCCTTGTTTGTCCTGCCCAAGTGCATCACCTCACATTTGGAGCAGAACTAAATGAGTGAATCAATGCTTTGAATTGTTTAGAAGCAAGAACATTACCTATCAGAATGATTACTGCAGAGAGTTGGTAATGAGTAACATTTATCCTCTTCTATTCATCATTTAGAATGCTGGTTGGTAACATGGAGAATCATTTACTTAACAAATTTAAACCCAGGGCCAGGCTCAGACAATTGATCTTATGTAAACCAGAACTACACAGAATCTACAACACAGAACAGGCCATTCAACCCTGTTTGCCCAGTATTTATTAGCTTCTTCCTCCAGTAATTGTCATCAAATCAGCCTGTCAGCGTATCCTTTTATTCCTTGAGTATTTTATTTGGCTTCCCTTTAAATGCATCAATATGCATGTGTAAACACACACACACACACACACACACACACACACATGTGCGTGCACACACTCTCACATGCATACTCACAGACATATACACAAACACTCTCTCACACATACACGGACATGCATACACACACACATACAAACACACACACTTGTGCCGAGTAGGAAAGAGGAGAGAATCTAACAGCTGCATGAAATATGGTGAAACATCAAGTTTCAAAGAAGGGGTTTAGGAGCAGATAAGACACTCAATAAAGCAACGGTGTTCAAGGAGGGAATTCTAGAGTACTGACATTTAATGTTATGTTAGTGATAAAGGGATGATGATGATAAACCTGAGTCAGAATAGCAGACAGTAGGTGCTAGGATTAAGGGTTGGAAAATGGTCCAGAGATCAAAAGCTTGTGGATCAAGACACCATTTCTGAAACTGATACATTAGCAGGCAGAAGGCTACTGAAGGATCGTAACGACAAGGGTTATAAACCTTCAAGAGTGTTGTGTACATGAGAGAGCTAGGAAGTCAGTGAAAGGAACAATATAAAGACAGAATTGAGTCTACATGTACATGGGTTACAATCTAGTTGGTTCAATACAAGTTAGGTCTGTTTGTAATAAGGAATACAGGCAGAGTGGGGCCAGTCTGAGCACAATACACAGTTATCCAGACTTTTCCATGACCCGACAGATGTTATTGCAGGGAATTGAGCATGAGAACCCTGACGAATCCCCATCATAGCAGACTCCAGAAGAATAGTTTCGGGAATTGAAGGTTCAGCTGAGCAATACCTCTACACCTGGAGCCTTCCGAAAGTCTCCGTTTAAAACTGGAAAATTTGGAGGGTTTTGATAAAATTAAGAAATAATTACTAAGGTGAAGTTAAACTATTAAATACCTAACTCCTCAGTAACTATTCAACTGACCCCATACTTACATCACACACTCCAACCAAACCTCTGCCAGACTTCTTACAGCCCCAGACCCTGACCAGACATCTCCTGGGACCTGTTACACCCTTCTCTATCTCTGCACCTAAACTCCATTTCCCCACCACTTAGGATGTTTCCCCCTTATGCCATTCTATATCCAAACCCCTTACCCTGTTGTCTGACCTTTGCCCTTCTTCCCATGCTCTGCATACAACCACTTTTCTTCTGCCACTGGACATGTTTCCCCTTCTGCCGTTCTGTATTCAACCATGCCTTACCCTGCTTTTCATCCAAACCCCTGACCCTGCTGTTGATTTAAACCCACATTCCCTCTACCTCCTGGACCCAATTTCTCCCATCCACCCCAACCTACTACAAACACTGCATCTTTAATTGGTCTCCTTGCCACCTTGAAACCCTAGCACCTTATCCACTTGCCATCCTACCTACCTGGCACTGTGCCCATTGACAGCTACTTACCTAGCACCCTTGCACCTTTCCCACTTATCATCCTACTTATCTAGCATCCTAACTACTACCCATCAGCACTGTACCCCTCCACTATCCTACCCACTACCCAACCAGCACCCTATTTGTCTAACACATTACCAGCAGGCATCTGATTCACCTGGCACTCTATCCAACTACCCTTCTGGCACGCTAGCCTCCTAGCACCTGAACATTACATTTATTTTGTGCACTTACTGTGATTCAGGATCTTCACAGTAACTTCAGAGTATGGCAACTGCCTGTGGTTTGCCTTCCCCTAACAGTTCTGCACGTGGACAGAATTGTCCTAATGGAAGTATGGCTCCATATTTCTGAAGAATCCCTGATTGGAATCTCTTCTTAGAAGTGCAGAGCCCCTCCTTTCACAGCAAAAAAGAGTCAGAGTGCATGACATCACCATTCCTTGGAAAATCCAGTCCATTGTGTGGGAAAGATAAGGGACAAACAGCATCATTTCAAACTGCACATGAATTTGAATGACACAAAAGTGACAGTGGTGTATCAAATATCCTCGTGTTCGGATTTGAACTGAGAAACCTACTGCCACTTTTTTTTTTGTGTTGCTACCATGATTTGTGGGTGAAATAACACATGTAATTAAAAGATTACAAGAAGTATTTAAAATCTAGTGTTTTCTTCAAAAATATCTGACTATTTGAGAAGGAAATATGCCTGAATTTATAGGCACTTTATAATGCAGTGTTTCTAACAATATGGTCTCAACAGAAGGGCCCACATGGGCTGCACTGTACATTCATGTTGAATGCCAACTACGCAGTTTAAATAGAGACTCAATTGAGGCAGTGACAGAATCCAGATTAAACCGTTTCATCAGTGAAACAGGCCATCACCCTGGGACAAAACACAAACAACTCAGCACAGTTTGAATGATGAAATGGTTGAATAATTAGCAATTAACTGGATCTCCAATAACTTTGATAAGCAAGGAGCTTACTCCTTGCAAAGGAATCAGCAGTTTCAGCTTACATTCGAACATTAAGCAGCATTAACCTGACAGCATGTAAAAAACACCTTAAGCTGTGGGTATCTAACCTGCAGGTTTCTAAACTCTAATAATCCAGCTTCAAAATCCCAGGCAATTCCATCCTAATGATGTTCATATTTCTCACACACTGGTTTGCTTTGCAGTTTTACACTATGCCTCACTACTGGTCAAATTATTCTTTTAAGTATTTGAAATTTGAAATCGTATCCCTGTAAGTAAGAACATGATGCTTTGTTAGTTTCACAGCTTGGGGTAAATGCAAATATTTTACTACAAGTGCAGATACAGCAGGCCAGCAGTTTGCCATGTGACAGTTGCACTCTTGAGTAGAAACAAGATGACCTGCAGTAAACCTAATATTAATATGTGTGATTCCAAGGTTACATCATGACATAGATCCTAGTCTTAAGCCCGTGTCATCTAGTTGATTGACCCGATTTAATTTATTGAAAACCCAAATGGGGGTTAACTATGTTTCTAATTGGTAAGTGTAAATTAAGCAATGGATAGTCAATACTCATTTCCACAGTATGTGCATGTGAACTTTAACCTTTTTATGTGTTTATTAGTCAAATGGCAAGATTAAGAGCAGAGTCAGTGTTTTCTAAAAGCTTTGCAGTGAACAAAGTAGTTCTGAAATGCAGTCATATTATAATGTAGGGAAGACACAATCAATTTCCATATGGCAAGCTCCCACAAATCGTAATAATATCCATTTGCTAATGTCTTTTAGAGATGCTGGTTGAGATTTAAATAT